TACTGTTCATCTAGCAATCTGCATTTTTTCAGTCGATATACGTTACAATGACGAATTGGGTTTTGCAATTCTAAGCTGTACAAACTATCTTGCATACATGGAAACATATATTTTTGTAGCAACAAATCAAACCTATCTTATATTCATATTACAACAGTAATATTAAAATATTAAGTACGTATGAGTAATATATATTAAAATAAATTTTTTTAATAACGTTCCTTTTATTTAAAGATGCGTATCATGTGGCAATATCTACACATTTCAACAAAGTGATTGTCGATCAAATTAGCGATGACAAGCTCTGACGACGCAAGAGTCTGTGACTATTGACGTTAATACACCGCTTACTAATTTCCAAGCATCATTGCTTTGTCTTCTAGAAAACTACTGTGTATGAATATATATATATATATCAAAGAAGCATATGATGAACAAGAAAATAACTATTTTGACAGATTCTATCCGAGAACATCGAATGCGTTATATTCTTCGACAAAATATCGCGTAAAAAACTCAACAAGAACAATAGTGCATCATTGTATATTTTATCATCTTTTCTAAAATATGTCCTTGTCGAATTGAGATGTATTGCAGCATCTTCGATTCTGAAATATAATTTCTTAAGCTTTGATTAATGATTTTATCACCATTATTAACTCGATATTGAATAACTAAAAAGCACATATAACATATATCGTATTTCTTTCGTTGAAAGTCGAGAAATATATTCGAATGTTAGTGTTAACTATATTTTTTTCAAAGTTACAAGGATCATAATGATATTCTTGCAACGTCGTTTAAAGCGCTGATAGTTTCTGTCATAAGACTTAGCCAACTATTACATTTTACTACAAAATTCGACATTATTGTGTATTTGCATCCATCAAATCCTAATTTTGTGACGCTTGCACATGTTTTTCTTGTAAAAGAGCGCATGAAAATAAATGCAATGTCGTTCTGCCGATATGTTCAATTAAATTGTTTATTATCTGCGAAAAAATAATAACGTCTTTTGTAAAAAACTTGAGTATATATTATATTTTGTTATGATAAAGGAATATTATTATAAATAAGTTTACAAGCAAAATAAATGCAAGATTCAAATTTAATTGAAAATATGAATCTACTACTAATTAGCAAAAGTATGAGAAAATATTGAAAAAATTACAAATATTATACTAATGATTTGTCTTGGAAATTTTTTTTTATAAAATAAAACTATTTGTTAAAAAATGGCACTTTATTAATACGTTGTAAAACGCATCGTTAGCACATGTTTCTACTTTAATGAATACATTATTGGTCACACATAAATTTAGAAAAATTACTCGAATAATACATTTCAAACATCTCTGGAGAAATTATACCAAACTGAAGTTAGATAAAGCAAAAGTAAAAAAATGAAATAGTATAAATATCTTACAAATGTCGTCCCTACATGAACATCACTGCTCAGTTAAAAAGACTGATGTGTTTTATGAATTTATATACAAACTTTATAAATGTAATATTAAAGAGTACTTTCTTCAATTAATTTATAAAAATTATATATTTATAAATTCAAGGTATATCTTTGAGATATAGATTTATAAACTTGCTTATAACTTTATAAAAATTAAACTGATGTATACAAACGTTGAAGATAATTTTTTTATACATTTCAAATTAATTAAGTGATCAAAGTAAAGGCTGACGTTATTGTTGTTTGTGGCTCGGTCTCAATTCGGTTATCGTCATCTCCATTGTCAAAAGAATAGATACATCTATTAAAAATAAAATCAAAAACTGATTAAAAACATCTAATTATTCGATTTTTATTGTTCTTATTATATAGGTAATAAATACGCCACACAAAAAAAATAAAAAATTAATAATACACAACAATATTAATAATATCAATAAAACTTACCAACGCTTCTTTTCAGTTTATTTCACGGCTTGTTGACGGTTCATCGTATAGTGTAAGTCTTTCCATTCCTTGTCCTCGTATTGCTAGATCATCTATTGGTCGTGGATCATTTCCTGGTTCTGAGTCATCTCTTCTCATCAAATTTGGACACTCATTGTTGAATATGTGAAGGAATAAGTGTATTGAAGGCATAAACAAATAGTTATGTCTTTTTTCACATGCAATGCAAAATCCTTTAAAATCATCATTACTATCTTCGACTTTTGTCACATATTTGCAAAGCCATGTGTAGTGGCGAATGTTATGATTATTATCTTCAAATTTTTTATGATGGTGCATTTTCCAGTGCTGCGAATACAGTGAAAACTCTCTGTTACATATAACACATTTTGCTTTTTGTTGCCGTTTAACTGTTCTGAAATTTATCCAATTTAATGTCTTGCGATAAACACCACGTTTTTGGTGTTCATCATTATAAAGTCTAGGAGTTACAACATACATATGCGTACGAAAACTTGATGTGTCGATGCTACTAAAAATAACAAAACAGATTTTACATTCTGCTTGAAATCTCGGTTTTAATTGATATTTTTTTTTTCTACCCAATTTATAGCTATTTCGCGATCTTCCGCGTCCGTTGACTTCCATTTGCGATCGTCACAAATTTTTAGGAACAGTTTCAGTCTTTTTAAATTTACGACACCTAATGGAGCTGTTAATACTTCATTAAATGGTAGTTTCCTCCCCCCCCATTTTTCTGGATGATACAATTTAAAATGCAAGAATATGATATCATCAAACGATGTGTTCGTACTTCCTTCGTTTCCTCCACGTTTACAAAGAATACAATACGCTGACAAAACATTAATCATTTTATAATATTTGAACACCCAGTTATAACCAATGACAGTTACAATTTGTCTATCGTCTGCGCATAGCCGGTGATTAGAGGCATCGTCGTAGGAAAAAAGCTTCTCACATACAACACATTCTACATAGGTTGAATCGTCAATTTTTCTGAAGTTTTCCCAACACTTTTCTTTAAGTTCATAAACAGTCTCTTCAAATTCATAAGTGATTTTATGTTCGCGTTTTATATGATCCTCAAAGTTTTCTGTGCTGACGAAGTATAAAATTTCTTCACACTCCTTACATGTTGCTTGAAAATTCGACAGTGTGTAATTACTATTCACCCAATTCGAAGCAGTTGAAAACACAGGTTGATTGACTACGTCCATTCCGCGAGACATATTGCGTGTGACTGAACGCGATACTATTTTCTCGAACAGGATTTCATAGAAGAGGTCGAAAGAACTAAGATGTAACATTTCCCTTCCATTTGTACATAAACATTGATAGATTGTTCTGACTTACCGAACTGTTGTTAAGAATTTGAATTTTTTACAAATATGTAATATTATAACAATTCTACGACTGAGCAAAAAAGATTTTACACAACATTTTTTGCGTGCATAAACAAGTTTTTCTTTGAAATAATGCAAAAATAATTATTTATGTTTTTCAAATAAAACTGTTCTGTGTGTCATAATAACCATATTAAAGGAAATTACGCTCACTGTTTCGAATTTATTGGTTCTAACAAAAAACGCAATTAATACACTCATCGAAGAAGGATAAATATGCGCGCGCTAGCATTTCTGTACCAGACGCGCACGTATTTAGATATGTTACTGTCGCCGTCGTATTGTGAAGACGTTCGATTTGTATTTCATATGAAATCACGATGTTTTTAATTTCAATAGCTTCAATTTTGAGCTTTATTAATTTATATAGTTAAACACCCGTAATATAATGAAACAAATATTCTTCGGATCTGCTAGAACATGCGTTAATACTTAACGTACCGCGTGC